TATCTTATTAGGCGTGATTCCAAATACTAATTCTGTTTAAATCTGCAAAAAGGGTGTGATCAAGCAATAACTATAAATCATGAATAATCAAGCAACATATGATTAATACAACAATCATCATCATAAAAGCATTATCAAAACATCATTAATAGTAAGATCCTACGCATGATACTAAACGGATTAATAACAAATCCTAGCATGTCACTAATAACAAAATCAAAGCATTATCCTAAACATGATACTATAAATCATAAAAACATCCTAAGCATGATACTAGGAATCATAAAAACACCCTAAGCATGATATCTACTCCAAAATCAAAAGAATAATAATAAGGGTAATTGAATTACTCACTTTGATGCCTCAACCTTCTTGCTATTAAAACAATACACACGTTAGTAAACTTCAAGAAAGTTAAATAAAATAAAGTAAATAAATCATATATGAATTGAAATATAGATTTGGGACCAAACCCTCAAAACTATTAACCTTTCACGTCGAGGTCGAAGACAACGTCGAGGATGGCTTAGAGTATTCGAACCTCGTGAATGAGGTATTGTGAATGATTTTGGAGAGTATCAAAGATATGTTTAGACTAAGGCTAAGAACATTGGAATCAAGAATTTCGGGTATTATGATGATGATGGTAATTGTTGATAGGTGGTTGTTGATAAAGATCGTTGATGATGATTGGAGCTAGGGGGTTATAGCTTATGATGGATGGTTCTAGCTGATTTGTAAACGGGGAAAACGACCTCTATTTATAGGGAAAAAAGAAAGTCGAAGCGATAAAAAAAATCAAATTTTGAATTGGAATAGAACTCTTTCCAACGCGTGGCGACAACTATATCGCGGCGCGATGGACCTTATCGCGGTTAGATTTTTTCCCCCTACATTTTATCAATTTGTATGTGTTTGAATTTTTTGCTCTTTATTAATTTTTCAAACTTTTTATAATGAAACAAAATCCACTAAATTGATATAATGCTAATATTTTGAAAGGAATGGTGTCCTTCCAACAAGTGTATTATTCCGATAGAGGGTTCAGAATTATTGGATAGCTAATTCTTCAGTAAGGTCAAGTGATCGGAATGCCTAGGTGGAGGCCGCTTCCGATCAGTAATATTAATGTACAAATTAATATTACAACTTAATCTTGACTGAACCCTTCGGGTCGAACCCAATCGAACAACCGATCCGAGACGACGAGTCAATCCGAAGGATTTGATGAGTCGTCAGAGTTTTACGAACAAATACGTCGGATATCGAGCTTAGAGCGTCGAGACCGAGCGTCGCAAGTCGAGTCGAATTTGGAATTCGACGAGACATGAAATCAATCAAGTTACAAGTTCGAGCCTAGCCGTAGACTCACATTGGCCTAGCCATGTGAGTGCTAGGCTAGGCAAGACCCATCGCAATGCTAGCCGCAAGCCTAGCATGCTAGGCGTGCTAGGACAATGCGTGCTAGCAAGCCATTGCACGTCGCAAGGCATAGCCTAGCACTGCTCGCAAGCATCGCAACCTTGCGTGCTTGCTAGCATGCTAGGCGCCTAGCCATCGCAGCCACGCACCATCGCATAGCAGCATGCTAGGCGTGCTACGCTATGCGTGATGCTAGGCAGTGGCACGCACCAGCCCCAGCCATCGCTAGCCGCAAGCATGGCATACGTTAGCAGCGTGCTACGCTATGCATGCTTGCTAGCCAAGCTGGGCCAGACATCGCTGCACAACATGCGTGCTGGGCATTGCATGGCAGCAGCCCTGTGCCTCGCACATCGCAAGCACTACGCACCAGCCAGCAGCGTGCTGGGCTGTGCGTGTGGTGCGTGTGCTCGCATAGTAGCAGCGCCCAGCATGCGTGGCTCGCTAGCAGCACGCATGCTCTGGCTGGTTGCGCATGCGAGCTGGCTGTGCGTGTGGGGTGCTAGCTGGCTGGATAGGCTGCCCAACCTTGGTGCTAGGCGCAAGCTGGCAGCCAAGGCAGGTTGCCAGCCAGCCACTTGGATGGGAGAGGCGGTTTGCTAGAGGGGACCAAGGGGTGTAAGCTTTGCCTTGGGGAGCAAGGCTATGGTCCCCCCCTTGGAAATGGTCCTCACCTAATCTCTCATCCTCCTTGTGCCACTTGTAATTTATTGATTGAGTTGCAATTTTTTTTTAATTAAAATAAAATGAGAAAATTGCAAATCTCCCACATTGATTGAGAGTGGGAATTCAAGGTTCATTTCCCTATAAATACCAAGGTTTTGGGATTTGGGAAGAACACTTGAGTGGAACTAAAAAGGCATCTCCTTAGAAAAGTGAGAAAACCTTAAGTTCGTAAAACTCTAGTTTTTATTGGTCGAGTCCCGACTAACCTTCGGGACTTGGATCGTTCGGGTCGGGTTCGTGGGTACGAGCCGTCGGAGACCTTCGCATTTGCGGGGTTCGAGTTTTGAAGTAAAAGCTCGGGATTCGAGCGAAGCACGCGCCAAGGGTAAGAATGTCTTTTCCTTCTCTCTCTTAATTATTGTTTAATTAGTGATTGCATGCTTAGTCGCTTTAATTAGTGTACGGGTCTTGGGTGGGTTTCCCTTCCGCGTAGAGTCGGACTCTACGAAACCCAACATATTTCATATATTTTATTTTAATTATGAAGTTAATTAGAATATGTAACATCATATTTTTTTTAATTTCAGCTCAATTTATCTAATTAGATAGATCATAATTTATTATGCTTTTTCTTAAATTATTTATATTGCGCACATAAGAACAAAAGTTTTACTATTAAAATCGTGCATCGCATGGGACTAAACTAGTAATTTACTATAAGAGTTGCTTGAGAATATAATTGATGTTTTACATTCATTAATAGTGACTAATTAACAAGATTTGTACCAAAAAAATTTGATCTGAGTACACTAATGTCAGAATATCGTCAAAATGTTGAATAAATATTTTATGGAAATATATCACCTTAGGTTCACACATATCTTCTACTTTAAACATAAGTAGTTTAAAACTTTCACAAATAATTCATGAGAAAATATCAAAATATATGTATTAAACTTAAATATTCATATGATCTTACTATTATACTACTAACCTTAGACATTTTTGTTAGTTAAAATATGGAGAACATTTCGATAATCACTAAATTTTCATAAATAATTCCTTACAGTATTAATGCTCACATTTTAAAATAATTTGTATACCACGTATAGACCTATAGATTATGATTATTATGCCATTTAATTAATAATAATAAGAATACATTGCATGTTTATAAAATGAATTATGACTAACATTTTTCTAAATCTCAACATGTATCTTTGATCCATATAAAGATTATCAATAACAATATCTAAATATTCATGCATTAGATGTTGTCAGTCAGGTCATCGTTTGAGAGTAGAGGGGGGAGGTAAGGGAATCCCCCCCTACTCTCAAGCATTTTGTAGTTAATGGGGCTCGAACTTGTGACCTCAAAGTCATAAGGTGAGTTTCCCACCAACTCCACCAAGCTATGCTTGGTTATGTGTAATAGTTCATGTTCAGGAAAAAAGATACCTATAGGTGGGGGTAGAATGAAACGTGTATTATTTATTAGAATTTATTTATACCTTGAACAATTGGTTGTATGAAAAAATAATTTTAGAGATTTTATACTCACCATCACTGCTTTTATGGTGAAATGTATGAGTCTACTATTGTTACTATAAGATTTTTTTATTCCAAAATTGAAATTTTATTTTTGTTTCAAAACCTACATAGATCATCTATGAATGTACTCATTTGTTGAATTTAATTTGTTCCGTACTATATTATTTGATGAGATTAATATAAATAATTTGTAAATTGTGCATCGCATAGGTATTATAGTAGTATTTATAGAATAAGTTAACCGTATATAAAATGAATAAAAAAAAGTCAGACGCGCTATCATTGTGTCACGGATCCCCTTTAAACGTTATATAAAACAATTATAAAATTTTATTGTAGAATTTTGCTCGTTAAAATCCTAATCAATCTATCATTAATTTGATACAAAAATGTTCTACTTTATCAACTTATTCATGTAAATCTTAATCCGAAATTGATCGTACTTTAATGCTCAATTGCTCATTAATTACTACAGTGACAGATTTAAAAAAAATAAATATATAAATACTACGAATAAGACCGATTAAAACTCGTATCGTATGCTAAATTGCTCATTCGATATGGATGCAATGTGACTAAACTGTAATGGATGAGCAGCCACCCATCCAAGTCCCGGAAAATCTTGCATGGACTTGGTCTACAATAATATTGAACATAATGAACAATTGAGTATAATGACCCCTAATTTTAACATAGTAACTGGCATTATACGCAATGTGGACCCGAGGCTTATATGCACGTAACTGACATTATATTGAACATAATGACCCCTAACATAGTAACCTTATTTTTAACATAGTAATCTTTATTAAAACTTGTGTGACTTTTAATATTATTATAAATCTTAAGTACGATGTTATATTGAACATAGTTACCTTTATTATTCATATTGATCACTACATAAAAAAAACAATAAAGATTAACCTTTTTTTTTTTAAGAAAACCAAATAAAAATTAATCTCTTATAGCCTTTATAACACCAAAATGACTTTTATTTCAACATAATAACCTTTATTTCAATATAGTGATTTTTTTTTCTTTATTAATAAAACAAGCATAGTGTTTTTAAGTGTTAGTGGTCCACAATAAATTAGTGTGAATCAGGTCCATTTAAGAGTTTGTATCCAAGTCCATTCTAGGAGCAAAGCAATAACATTCAGGATTCAGCAGCAGCCGAGGGGAGTTCAGAATACAGCAACAAAAGAAAACAAAAGTCATTAAGATAGCACTAAGAAGAGTGGTGGCTTGGGACTGATTTTCTCAGCAGCAGATCAGGACAAATTGATTAATACTAGGGTACTTTTGGTATTGGTGAAGCAATATGTTATGTGAACTTTTGTATGAAACATATGAATTCAGAGTTGTAGCCTCAAGCAAGCTATATTTATTTTACAATTGTAACCATTGCCTTGAATGTGAATAAAAAATACTAGTACAAGCTTTCATCCTAATCTCCCTTACCGAGTCTTTAACATAATACCACAAAAACAGAATATATAATACATATGGCAGAGCTCATTGCATTTCCAGATGTTCAACGAGTTAATGACTAAGCCATGATTAATTCAGAAACCATAAGAAATATAAATAGTAGTATAACAAATGGTAAACAAAACTCAAAAAAAAAAAAAAAAAAAAAAAAAAAAAGGGTGCTCAGGAGAGAACTACAAATTTCAGAATGTAGAATCAACTTCGATATATACATTGTTTGCAAATCCCTTTTCGGCACAGGTCCTCCGATTATGGCCGAGTACCCCGCAAATCTTGCAGTGATATAGTCGTCTTGCTCGTTGGCTAACTCCAAAAGTCACGTCGAATTTGTCAATCGAGTCAGAACAAGTCCTCATATTGTGACCACTTTTTCCACATACACTGCATCGATGATTATGATGATGATGATTTTGAAGATTTCCCTTTAGCTTTTTTGAAGAGCCATTATTTTCAAGTTTGGCACTATCTGACTGTAGCTTAGTCTTCAGAGAGCATGTCCTGCTATTGTGACCGTGCTTTCTGCATACACTGCATTGATGATTATGCTTTTGGGCGTTTCCCTGAATTTTTTTGAAAGAGCCATTATTATCAAATGCAGCGCCATCTGACTGTAGCTTAGTCTTCAGAGAACATGTCTTGCTATTGTGACCACTCTTTCCGCATACACTACATCGATGAACATGCTTTCGAAAATGTACCTTTGAATTCATAAAAGAACCTTCAGTTTTAGGAGTGGCACTGTCTGACTCTAGTTCAGTCTTCAGAAAGCATGTCCTGCTATTGTGACCAACTTTTCCGCAAACACTGCATTGATGATGATGCTTTCGAACACGTCCCTTTGAATCCTCGACAGAGCTTTTATTTTCATGAATGGCACTGTCTGACTGTAGTTTGGTCTTCATAGAGCAAGTCCTGCGATTATGACCGACTTTCCCACATGAACGGCAATGATATTCCTTTAGAATTCTTTGTTTTGGTTTACTTGTTCTTGGTTTTTGACAAGTTCTTCTATTATGGCCCTTCTCACCGCACAACCCACATTTGAATCTCCTTTCAGTGTTTACTCCACGTTTAGGACAGTAATAACTCCTGTGCCCTTCTTGTCCACAGTTCTTGCAGAAGAATTTAATCCCTGCAGATTAGATTTTAAGAGAGAGTGATCATTTTTTTTTCCCCCCTATTTTGTGCTTTAAGTCACACAAAGGCCAGCATAATTGTGTACATACAACATTACAATGGCAGGAGAGGGATTCAAACTTGTGACCTAATCTAAATGTACTCAAAAACTCAATGTTAAGGAAATGATTGTTTCATTGGGATTTAGTACTATGGCTGTGTTTCACCGGAGGAAAACAATTTGAATAAAATTTACTTTCTACAAAAAATACATTGTGGAAAAAGTCAGCTTTAATACTTCATATTCCTTTGCTTTGTTCCTAAAAGAGAACAAAAGTGAATACGAGGAATATATGACATTTTTTTTTCTTAAAATGATGAAACCCTGTAATACCTCTTTGGAAAACTATTTTTAACTGCAGAAAGTTGGTGCTTTTTTTCCACTCTTTAACAGACCAAGCAGAAGATAATGAGAGTAATTTACTAATTTTAACTGAAAAGGACTTTCCTTCTTGTCAAACACAGCCTACATGATCCTTCAAGTTTGAACTCTTTGAACAGTGGGATGGGGCAGTATATACTCATTATAGGTACATTTCTAAAGCATTAAAAGCTCTCAAGCCAACCAAACATGTAGCAGTGATTGCCATGCTTCACTAAAGTTCACAAGTTTGGCAGTTTATTATAACCGTACCAACCTTTCATAGAAATGCTTCTCTTCCGGCGATTCTCAGGATCACTGAAGAAGTTTTTCAGAGTTTCGGAAGTATGCTTCCTTGCAGCAGGTGTCCTTTTAGCTTTCTGCAATCAAACCAAAATGCATATACTATAAGCTACATTGTAAAAAGGAAGTGCTGTCGTTGGATTCTATTAAACCTCAAAATAAAAAAATAAAAAAAATAAATAAAAACTTGCTTCTCACAATTGAATACTCCGTCCATAAATATTTTACATGTTTAAAACAAAACAGTGGCTCCTAATGTATTATCGACCCATCATTTGCAGCTAAAATTAGGGAAGCAATAACATACTTCTACAAAACCAAAAAAAGAGAAAACAATATGTACTAACAAGGATACAACAATATGTACAATAACAGCCTTTTTCATGGTCTACTGCTACTTAGCAGAATAATCAATGTTGGATAAAGAAGTTGACCATAGCTACAAACAAATGGACCAGAAATCAGTAAAGATGCATCAGAAGCATAGAAGTTATGAATCCCACAAGCCTTATATGGTACAAGGTTATAAATGGATGGAGCACATATTAGTCTATATGTAACTTCATGAAGGAATGCTGTAAATGCATGTCCATGATAAACTGATAATGCATCTCCACTAAAAAGCATGTCTTTATCCTTTTGAAGTTCATTAACTCATATCTACAGTCTAAAGGCTAAATCTCTAGATACTAAAAAGTGTCAATGAAAATCAATGGAAGAAAAAAAAAAAACATACAAGAACATTCACAAGGGGCATTCCATGTAAATGTGTAAAATTACATATCTATTACTATAGCCTCAAGTTTCTTGCTTTTAATATGAGCCAGTACACTGTACACATGTGTCATGCGTCACTAATCACTATCTGATTTATACTTCTAAGTTCAAAAACACTCTAATCAGTACCATTGTCTGGAGCTGGGTAAATTAACATATTTGACAGTAGTCAGTTACAGTTCAAGACTATTTAACTTTATGCTGACTTTTCTTGTACAAAATCAGTATGTATCTTATTTCAAATTTTCAGCTTGAATTAAAAGTTACTACACTTATATAAATAAATATAGAAACCTTTATTGCAGCTACTCTTTGTGCATGAAGAGCAGGATCACGATGGATGATCTTCATACTCTTGCTGAACAGTCCTGTTTTTGCATTGAGACTCTGCATTCAGTCAACTAAAAGAACAAGATTATAATAAAGAACAACAATTCACAAGGAAAACTCAAAAGCTTCATGATCTACATGTTTTAAAAATAAATCAAATACAAAGTATATAATATGCAATGGTTTCAAATTATACAGCAATCAAAACATTCCAAACAGGAAACTAACTTTCAAGGAGCGACTGATTTTCAGCCCAACTTCTGGAGGAGTAGATCGGTAAACTCGCTTTGATTTCTTCCTTGAGTTTAGTTTTAGCTCCAAATTATCAACTTCATCATCTTCTTTGACTTTCAGCGGAGAACTGAAAATTGATACAGCATTGACATTGAGAAACATAGACAAGAATCTCAGTCACAAGCATTGCAACGCACGAACAATATAAGTAAGATAGCGATGTAAGTACAAGTGAAGGAAATTTATAATATCAGACCACGAATGCTCAAATTCTAGAACAAGCTTTCTGCTGAGAATGGCTGTATCAAAATTAAATGCTTGAAGAATATGTAGAAGAAAAGTTGCAATGAAGTTACATGGAACGTGCTTTTTCCCACGGGATTTCATCAATTGACTCTTCCCAGATGACACGCTCCCCCAAGCATTGCTGACAAGTCATAATTCCCTGCAACATAATAAGCAACAACTAAACATTAGAACTATATAACTTTATGATAGGTGAAATGTACACCTACTTTACTGGATGATAAGTTAAGCATTACATCAAGTATAAAACATGCTTTTAGTAACACTGCAACTACCATTGGGCTTAAGCACATCATATTATGTCAACATACAGGCATACAGCCATCATACCTTCCCACTGCAAAGCGAACAATCTTGTCTAGACCGCTCAATTCCGCACTCTGCACAAGGAGTATATCCTCTTCCCCGGCAACTTGGGCAGGGAAGCTCTTTAATATACTGTCCATTGGGCCCAAACCATGATCTAGGTTCGATTGCATCTGATTTAATATCCCTGAAACCAATCAAATAAATATATTTGGTTACCAATTTCCTCATCAAATATTAGGGTGACGGCAAATCCAGAGAAGCATTACTTACAATATTGAGCCACTTTTAACCATTTCTATTACTCTATTATAATAATAGCTCATAACTGCTTTAGTACCAAGCTTTATTTGAGGCATAAACTACATCATCTTTAGAGAGACTAGTAAAATTCGAAAATTGATCTTAGGTAAGCATTTCAAGCTCAGTGAAACAACATAACAGACTACGAACTTATCTTAACCCCTTGCATAGGAGGACAGTTTCAAAATCGTGGGAGGGCAGCGGTTGATGATCATAAAGTTCAAAATTATTCCAATATTTCCAACCAAGTGTTATGAAGACTATGCCCCCACTAAACAAGCTAGTAATTACTAATTAATGAGCTGAATTTCTTAAGTAGTTCGGATTATATTGCTGATAGGAAAATAGACTTCACAATCCAACAGAGCAACAAGGTGACTAGGGAGTGAGGTATTACTATCTTTGTACAAAATAAAATTTCACAAAACTTGAAATACTAATAGATATTAACATCATATTCATTTCCATTTCAACACAAGACTTCGGTTGCCCATTCATCAGGCCGAGCACGAGTTTCAGCAAAAAAAATTGTCAGTCTATACATATGAGCAATTACATTTTGCAACAATTATTGTTTAAGTCATGCAAATTCACACTGAATATTGATAATTTGACTATAGTAAATAACAGCACATTTGCCATTTATACTGCCCCAATTAAAATATCTCAAACACAAGCAACATAACCCGAAATAAATTAATCTCTACTAACTTAGTCGATTAAAGTCTTGGAGGTCGTATCCAATCAAACTCCGTATACAAATCATTGGCTATTTGGCTCATTACCCTTTTGGGTCCCTTTACATTACAACAATGTACTTAAACTACTTATACAAAAACGCACAAACAATTTCAAATGCCATGCTTATTAAACATTAAAGTAATCAAACCTTGGTGGTATATTCACATCAATTCCATATAGTTCATCTGAAGGATCATATCCCAGCTGCCAAAAAAAAGACAAAATAAAAATAAGAAATATATATTATGAGAGAAATTATGATTATAAAAAGAGAGAGAGAAATGGGATACCTGGTTTTCGTCCCTGGAAAGAGAATTGATGGTACGAAGAGAATGAGGAAAAAATTTGAAAAGGGGTGATTGTGATTTAGAGTGATGAAAAACAAGGTTGGTGTTGTTATGGTTCTTCCAGGGCGGAACCAGAATAAGATGAGGGGTTGAGCAGATTGACAACATTTTTCATGGCAGAATTGGAGTATCAGCTGTAGCACTGTATGACTTGAGGTTAACCCAACTTTGTGTGGAAAGTCTTTTCATTTTGAGTGGTTAGGAATTTTACACATTTTGTCAATCCTAAAACTATTTCAGACCAATTGACTTGACCCTATTGGCAAATTAAATTGACCATATAGTGTCATAAACTCATAATGGTAACTTGATAATAACCATTAGCAATTTGGTAAAAAAATAATAATAATAATAATTATTATTATTATTATATTTTGCCACAATTTGGTGTAAAATTTTTTTTTGGTGAAATTTAACCCATAAAATCTAAAATTTTCTAGTAGAGTAGTTGCATATGCCTAACTTAATTCACTTTCATAGTTTTTTTTTTTTTTTTTTTGTTTATTTTCTCCCATGTAAATTTCCACTTAATTTTTTAAACCCCATTTTAAGAAAATAAATAGATGAGAGACAACTACCAAAATTGAATGTGACCCAAATAATCTCAAGAACAACCTCATTTGAAGTATAAATATGGCCCAATTTTTTTAAACTGAAATGACCTGAACTAAAACAACTTTAACTGACTAAACTAAATTAATATTATTTGTGTAAAAAATTATCTGAAGAGCTTGACTCGCTCCATATGCAAGAGGAATCGTTTTGGTATACAAGAGCACGTGCAAATGAGTTGAAAGATGGAGATAAAAACACTAAATATTTCCACCACAAAGCAAGCCAAAGACGAGCCAACAACCGCATTAATGGATTACCTGATTTGAATGGAGTATTGTTACAACAGCGTGTTGACTTGGAGCGCCTTATTGAAGCTTACTTTAATGATCTTTTTGCTACAAGCTCCCCTACGGACTTTCAAGGGGTGCTGGAAGGTATAGAGGAAGTTGTGTCGGAAGAGATGAATGCAATGTTAGATGAAGAACCGACTGGTGAGGAAATTAGAGAAGCCTTGTTTCAAATGCACCTGAATAAAGCACCCAACCTGACGGTGTGCATGCATTATTCTTCCAGAAATTTTGGCATATTATTGGCAGTGATATTATTAGTTTTGTGAAGAGGTGGTGGAAGGGGGAAGTGGGTTTAAAGGAAATTAATAATACTTGTGTTGTGCTTATTTCGAAGTGTGAAGATCTTAAATTAATCTCTAAATTTAGGCCGATTAGTTGTTGCAATGTCATTTATAAAATTATTTCGAAGACTTTGGCCAACAAATTGAAGGGGTTGTTAGGTGATGTGGTGTCCCAAAATTAGAGTGTATTTGTTCCTAGACGACTTATAACTGATAATGCAATTGTTGCTTTTGAGATTTTTCATGCCATGAAGAGAGGGGGAGAGGGAAAAGAGGGGAATATTGCATTGAAACTAGATATGAGTAAGGCATACGATTGTGTGGAGTGGATTTTTATGGAGAAGGTGTTTCGGGGTTTTCTGATGTCCTGCGGGAGAGTTACAATTCCGAGACTGGAACCGGACGCCTGTACCTGCAAAATAACGGAGACTCCTGAGAGCTCCGCCTCCAACGGTCAAGTTAGTACCTGATTAAGGAGTAATTAATACAGAAATTAAAGTAATAAGGTCTCTCTAGGTGAGAGTATTTAATGTAGGTAATCTGCTTTGCTAGCGAGATCAGCCGGTTATTAATGTGTTCCGTAAATTATTCGGTCCCTCGATTAATGAGGATTAATCGAGTATTTATAGCCTTGGGAAGCGTGCAACTCTCTAGGTTTAAGGTAAACCTAGGGCCGATCGGGCTTCTAGACTGAAATGGGCCTTGATGGCCGGTTGTCCCATTTGGCATGGGTGGACACGTGGCGTGTCTTAAGTGGTCCGTGGAGGACGCGTGGCGGAACCTGGTTGGTCCACTTGTCAAACGGCGCTTGGTGGATAAAAATCCCCTAATCATTTGCCCCTCACAGGTGGCACGCGACTGGTCACGTGTCGCCTGTGACAGGCGTCGCACGGTGACAGGCGACAGCCCGTTACAGGTGTCACCTTGCAGACGGCCGGGAGACTCTCCCGCCCAAATTTGAATTCGGAAGCGACCCTTCGCCTTCTCATTTTGCCTATAAAAGGAAGTGCTGACTTCGGTCATTTTCACATTTGAGAATTTTTGCGAGAACATTCGGACCCCTGAACTTGCTCTGACATTTTCGGACTTTTTCTGCCTACCGCCTGTTCTGACAAGCCGACTGACCCGAACTTTCAGGACTTCATCAACTGTCATCCATTCAGGTAACTCAGTTCTCTTACTCTTAATTTTCTTTTTATTTTTTGAAATGGCACCATGGAAGCACACGACACGCCCTAAGTTAGTGATCAGCCGGTCACCGGGGACGGCTGAATCTAGGACTAGGAGTGCCGCCTGCCCTTTTCTGGACCCATCTTTGCCCTTTATACAAAGTCCGACTGAATCTGTGTCTATGCAGAACGTGATGGCCAGAACAAAAAAGACTGCTAGAATATCAAACTCAGACGGCTCCTCCCAAAGGGTACTCCTTAGCGAAACATCTGACCAGGCGCCAGATGTGGAACGAGGCGACTGTCAAGCTGACAGTTCTGAGAGAGGGACCAAGGTGTTCCCTTCTCATCTAACCGTGGACATGTCTAATTTACCTTCTGCTCCTTCTAAGGGAGAGGAGGCGGGCCCCTCTAGGAGAGGGGAGGAGTCGTCCTCTTCGGACTCGTCAGGGGACGAGTCCGATTCCAGCTCTTCTGAGCATAGTTCTTCTGACTCAGAAGAAAAACATAACCGCCTACAAGAGGCGAGAAGTTCCCATGCAGTGGAGAAGGGGGATAATTGGGCAGAGCCGTCCGCCTCTTACAGAGAGGAAAACACCCCCTACTACTGCAGGGTGCCCCGGGGCCGGATCGCAACCATGCGAGACAACGTGGCGAGCTTTATTGCTAACCACAAAATGGGCCCGGAGTATTTACTGTTTGTGCCGGATCCAGAAGATACTGTCGTCTGGCCGGCTGGTACCAGCTATGGTGACGGCTGTTTTGGCTGCTATGTGGCGGCCATCAAAGCTGGTCTGCGCTTCCCATTACATCCGGCTGTTCAGCGGATTTTAGATGGGTATGATCTGGGGTTATGGCAGTTAGCCCCCAACTCTTGGGTAAACGTACTCGGCTATGTGGCCGGGTGCGAACTGAACGGGGTGGAGCCAAGTTTTGAGGCTTTCGCCCACATGAACTATCTCAGCCGGACCCCTAAGTCGGGAGGTACCGGCTGGTATCAACTAACAAGCCACAGGGGTTACCTCATGACGAGAGGTAAGGCAAACAAATGGAAGGATTGGCGGAACACCTTCCTTATTATCGAGAGTTCAGACACGGAGCTGAACAAACGTTTTAACAAGTGGAACAGGGATCCGCCTCTTCTTGCAGGCGGCCGCAGCATGCCGCCTGTTCCCCCTAAGGCTAAAAGAGAGATCCTAGACAAAGGACTCTTCAAAGTAGAGACTAGGGTGAACTCTACTTCAGGGGTACGAGAGCAAGTACCCCTACACTGCGTCCCGAGCTTCAAGTGGCTCTATGATGAGTACTTCTTGGCCGCCTGTGGCCTCGGCAGTCGGTGCTCTAGAGGTAGCCGGCCTGACGAATACTCTGTTTTCTCACGCCTTGTTTACTTGGGATTTTTACTAACTTTGCTGTTTATTTCTTTCAGCCGACGCCATGAGTAAAATAACAGCATCTAAGACTGCGGCGGCCATGCTGCGGGTTTCACTAATGAAGCAGTCGTACGCCGACTCCCCCAGCAAGGAGGCACCCTTGGTCAGCTTTGAAAACTCTTCCCCTTTAAGTTGTATTATGCATATACTAACTCTTTTTGTTTTCAGTCTGGCACTCCAAGGGCTTCTTCCTCGCAACAGCCGGACCCCAAGGCCCGGAGAACGACTGTTGCAAGCTCTCCTGGGTCTTCCAGGAAAACAGTGGCGGCTGAGAAGCAGCCGGCCACTTCCTCAAAAACCCAGGCGGGGCCGCCTAGATGTATGGACACTTGCTTGTAAAAACTCACTCTTGCTTCCTTCTTGATTAGGTCTAACTTGTTTTTCCTTTTGCTTAATGCAGCCGGCCCCCAGGGACTTGACTTGGTTGAGGTAGCCAAGTCAATGGTTAAAGTAGTTCCTCCCTCTGACAGGGAGGCGGTCAAGGGTGCCGGCACCCTTGACCTCGATGGAATTTCGGGGATCCTAGCTGAGGTATACCCTTTTGAAGTTCCAGGACGCCTGTTAACCCTTATGATTGGAAACTGACGCCTGTTTTTCTTTGTACTTAGGCCCTGCTCCGAGTCAACAGCCTTCGCAAGCCGATTGATCGGAAAAACAAAGAGGTAAAGGCCGCAAAGGCTATGGCCGCCTCCAGCTGTGATAAAGCAATGTTTCAAATTGCCCAAAATGAAGTACTGACCATTGATCTTCTTTATTATCAGGCGCAGGCGACCGCCGCTGTTCGGGCTCAGCTAGAGGCGGCCCAAAAGAAGGTTGACGAGCTGGAGGGGACCGTCACCAAACTTAAAGCCGAGCTGAAGCCCCTTCGTCAGAAAATGCACTCTTACGAAGCCATGGAGAAATCTTTGGCTAACGTAAAAGAACGCCTGGTGAACCAGGAGAAGAGTCTTACCCAAGAGCTCTCGGACAAGGCCGAGCAAGAGAAACAAGAGCTCGTCCGGGAGATGGTGGAAGACTCCGCCCAAATCCAACGCATGACCTGGGAACGACTGTTCCCCAGTGCCGACTTTGCCTCATGGGAAAGAACGTACCGCCAGTGTTCGGAAATATATAATCAACAGATCCTGGCGGCTGCTGAAGAAGAGGCGATGGACGGTGCGTTGGAGGAGGAAGAGCCGGTTGTGGCGCTTGTGCCACTTGGGGGAAAGGCATCAAAAGATGATGCAGCGAAGGCCGAGTCCAGCAAGAAGAGTGCTGACCAGGCGGCTGCTGCTGATACTGAACTGCCCCCTTCTTAAGCTTTAAGTATATTTTTTCTTTTCACGGCCTGCGTGCCGTTTGCTTTGTAATTACCCGGCCAGGGGGCCGGGGTTTTGAATATTCTGCTGGTCTTTTATGGCC